AAAAAAAAAAAAAAAATTAAATGGAATGAAGGCCAGCATGCACAATCTCCCTGAATTTGTAAACCATGCTTCAGCCAGCAATTCCTGCTGGGTGAAATCTGCCCACGGAAATCAAAGTGACTTGAGTGTGAAACTGCCCAGCGGGGTCTCCTCTGGCACTGGCGGGGTCTCCCCACTGCCCAGTGACGTAGCGATGCCCAAACTGGCTTGAAAAGAAGTGGCTCWCTCACTGCAAGGTKCAGAGTCAAGGRSACTGATTTTCCTAATTTTTTAGCAYGTTAGAAAYGAGTAAGAACAAGGAATAGTTTCAAAGAATAAGATTTTTTCACGTGGGACAGAATGAAAAAAAAAAAAATACAGATAGTGGTCTTGCTAATAGACAGTGTTGAAAACAAAACAGTCACAGATTTATAGAGTCATAACCGTGGAAAAGTCCTCTGAGAATACCAAACCAGCACTGCCAAGTTCACCACGAAACCATRTCCCCAGGTGCCACATCTACGTGGTTTTTGAACACTTTTAGGGATGGTGATTCCACCACTTCCTTGGGCAGCCTGTGCCAATGCTTCACCACCCTCTGAGTGAAGAAATTTTCCCCAATATCCAACCTAAACCTCCCCTGGCACAACCCAAGGCTGATTCCAGAGACCACCAATCCTACCTTCCCTTCCCACACCTGCACTGCAACCTGCAGCTGAAATTCCTGTTTGGGAAGCACTGTGGGATTCATTCCAGATAAGAGAAATGGTGTCAAACTTGGCATCTGGTCCTGGCTCAGTGCTTCTCTCCTTCTCCTAGGATGGGCAGAGAAGCGTTTCCCCTTGTTCAGTGACTTCTCCTTTGAGGGATGGATGATCCTTCTGCGAGCCCCTGTTCCTTTCCCCCATTCCTGCTGACTTTTGAGGAAGAACAAACTGATGATGCCACTATAGGTTAAGTCTAAATTAGTTTAACTTCAGGTATCCTCTTTTTTTTTTTTTTTTTTTTTTTTTTTTTTTATTATTATTATTGTTTTTTGTTTTCTTACCCATTTGCCTTATTCAGCAAAGCAACATTTCCTCTGTAGCTCAGGGAAAGAGACTTTCCAGACAGCAATAATCCCATTTTAAGGTGGCATCGGTGAGGAATCACCCTGTAAAATGGACCTGCACCTCTCCACTGACTACACTCAGCAGAAGGAGGTGAAGAACAAGTTTACCTGAGACAGCTGCCACTGAAATGTTGGGGTTTTTGTTTAAATTTGTGTTCCCTACAAGGTCTGTATGGTCTTTTGGGGTAGACATGAATCAACTCTGTTCCCTGGGCAGAGGAATCACCAGTGGCTCCACAGTTTCCCTTAGACACTTCCCAATCCTGAGAAAAGGAGTCCAGCTGAGGGCTGGGACACATCCCTGAAAATCTGAACCCCCAGGGGCTGCTTGAGAAAGGCCACATGAACTGTCCCTACATCTCTGCCTCAAACTTCTGCTCGTAAAAGTGAAATAAAATCTATGCTTAGACTGTGAACTCCCTKCAACTGGATCCACTTTGTATTTCTACTTCAAAAAACAGAGTGATTTTGGCAGAAACAAGACATTTATATGAATTTTATATGAGGAATTTATATGAATTTGTACGTGAGTCTTATATTGTGGATTTTATACGAATTTCATACGAAGCCCATGAYATCCAAATTTAAATTCAACCTTGGTGAAGCTGAGGGAGGTGCCTCGCTCTCACATGACTTGCCACTGAAAAAGARCAGCTCTTTCAGAGAAAGGCCACATTTCATAACAACGAAATTGTAATTATTCAGCATTGCAGAATCTTCTGAYGCATTTTTAAAATCATACCCAGCACTAAAACCATTCTAGTCATCCTGCCTCCTTGGAGGTCCTCACAAGCCCTGTTCCCTTCTTTCATTTCACACTCTCCCTAACCTGCTACTCCTGGCAGCTGAAAGGCTCCCGCTTGCCTGAAATTTCTGGACAAGCACCAAGAGGAAAAAAAAAAAAGAAAAAAAATCCTAAAGAAAGCCATGCTGGCAGGAGAGCAGTGATAAACAGCTCTTCTGAAATTGCTTACGGTCCTGTTGCCTAGAATCAGAAGAAAAACCCTCCAAACAATATTAGGATCGATACCATAAAGAGRAGTCTTTCAATGAAAGCTTTCAGATCCACAAAATATCTCCATGTGCATCCAGGGCAGAGAATTTTCACAAATTTTCTGAGTTCAGTTGATTAGCATTTCTAGGAATTATACCCCAAAGGAGACTGGCTGTCCTGGTAACCCACCCTTGGCCCTGCCCCAATGGAGTCCCTCCA